GGGCAGCGGTCTCCCTGGGCGACCCTCCTGGGTTCTCGCTGGCGGCTGCAGCCCACGGGCTGGGCTGAGAGGGGACGTGGCCTCTGCTGACATTGAGCCAGCCTTGCCACTCTGAGTCAGTGCACTGGTGAGGCTCAGATGATCCGGGGCTGGATTTTGACCTTGGTGTACTTAGACGAGTGTTTTTTCCGAACCCCCGAGATTCGCACGTCTCTTCTGGGCAAATGCGTGATTTTTCCCAAAGCCAGAAGCTCAGCCTCAGCTGGTACAGGGGCCTAGGGACTTAGCGTGAGTTGAGTGCATTGAAACAAGGCCATGAAGGTCTCAAAGTCATGTTTTAATATCCACAGCTTTACCTGGCTCTGGAATTGGGAGCCGGTGCCCAGTTGGGAAGCGGTGCCCCATTGGGAAGTGTCCTATTAAGATATATTCGTATACGTAGCAGATGGGATTCCTCCGGAGAGCAGCCAGGCTCACGGCAAAATAGTAAAGACAAGTCAGTGGGTGTGAAATAAATGAACTCCTTAGAGGCAGTTCTCTTTCTGGGTCTGGCTCCCCACAGATTGTGGGGATGGCTTGCTATTCTCCGTTGCTTCCCCAGGAATGTCCACGGACACAGTAGGACTCACAGGATGTCGGTGGGGTGCAGGCGGGATGATTTGAATCTCTGCCTGGGCTGGTCAAGTGTGTCCCCCACCCCACCGCCGCCCCGGTCCCAGGCCGGGCCAGGCCGTGTTGCGTACTGAAGACACCCTAGGTTTCCCAAAAGCCCCTTGCTCTTCTCACCCCACCCCACCCCCTGCCCTGGGCAGCAGCGGGACAGTCTGGCCTCCCTGGGTCTTCCCTGGGTGGGCGTCCTCTCTCATAGTCTGAACATAGCTTGTGTTCCTTGGATCATTGTCCCCGACCTTGACTCTCCACCCACCCAGCTCTTTTCCATCCCAAATCTGGCTGGGTTTACTGGGGATTGTTTTTGCAGGCTGCTAGCAGGGGGAAGTGACATCATGTGGTGTCCGCGGCCCAAGGGGTGGGGGCAGGGGCTCTGCGGTTGCGTGTGCTTTGAATTAAGTTGACGGTTGTGCATCCCAGTAGCCAACATCTGGCGGTGAATCCATCAGCCAGTGTATCAGCCTTGATCTCAAACCCAGATGTTGTGTTAACGGCAGAAGGGAAAGAAGAAAAAACAAAATCTGCGCAGCTCAGGGAGAGGCCATCATTTCTGAGCATAAAGCAGTTAAAACAAGGATCTTTATAAAGCATTTTGCTCCCGCTGCTGCCTCTGGTTCCTACAGCCAAGGGCAGGCCCGTGGAGCAGAGCTGCTCACTGCCGGGGGGTGGACAGAATGTGGGTTGGTCGCCCACCCCAGGGCCAGACACCCGGCCCAGCACATAGTAGGTGTTCAGCAAACATATGTCCATGCCTGGATTTTCATTTCCTCTCAGACTCTTTGGGTCTCTTTGTTTTTCCCCAGTCCTGGCCTTTAAATGGCCTGGGACTGAGCAGGGCCCATCCTTTACTTAGAGTGGCCTCCACCCCAGAGCCTTGGTGATGCCTGTCTCCTGGGGTGTTGGAAATGCCTTTCTGGAGAGCTCTCGGCCTCCTCCCTGTCTGCCGCTTGGGTTGGAAACAGTGTGCTTCTCTGTTCCCCTGTCCATTGTTTGACTTCTTGCCTGGGTTGGATGCTCCTTGAAGGCCATCTCTGTTTTTCGAGGACCCTCCCTCTCCTTACGCCTTTCTCCCGTGGGCAGCGGAAGGAGGCCCACACTTTTAGGATCACGTGAAAGGCAATTCAACCCAGAGCTCCAAGTCTGGCTGCTAAGAAATCCCCACCCTGGCCTCATGCTGGGGGCAGAAGGTTGAGGGTCAGAATGTCTGCAGCCAGAGCTGGCTGAGGTCCACCGTGAGGCCGCCCCAGCCCTCCGTCCCTGTGGGGCCCCTCTGCCTGTTTCCCCCAGGTCTCCTGCCCTCAGCTTGCCTACGGGATCCTCCGGCTTTGTTAAATTTATTTGCTCAAGCTTTGCTTGTGCCCTTCCCCGCCTAGAGTGCTGAGCCCACACAGCCCCTGCTGCCCTGAGCGGGTCCATGGCATCTCCGTGGACAGATGAATGCCCAGCATCTCTCCTTCATGTCCGGACGGTGTTGATGCTTTCGGAAGATTGCCATAAAGCTGCTCTTTCTTTGCCTCTCTTGATTCCCTTTCTTTCTTTCACATTGTACCTCATTTTGCAAAGTGGGGGGGAGGTTCCCACCCCAAATTCAGAGACCCCGAAGAATTGTGAGTTCTTGTTTTGCATGGACAAGGCCAGGTGGGGTTCCTCCTGGACCCTGCCCTCCACTTCCCTGCAAGCCGCGGGCAGCCTAGGAGCCAGTTCACATTCTAGTCTCAACCCGCAAGCCTGCCCTGGACCCTGGATGCAACCAGTCCCTTTCTGATAATTTAAAAAAGGAAAGTGTGCCTTTCTGTCATCTTGAGCTAGACGTGCATTGTGTGCCAGGCCCCGCGTCCCCTACTCCTCACGGCAGCCCGGAGGAGTGCAGGGGCTGGTGGGGGTAGCTCTGCGAGGTCAGGGAATGTCCTTGGCACTACATGGTGGGGAGGGGGCTGGAGCAGGGACTAGCCTAGTGCTGCCCCTCCTGAATACGGATTCAGACTGCCTAGGAGGCTTAGGGGCTTTTCTAGGACAAAAATGCATGGATCTGAATGCATGGAACAGAATGGAACCTGTTCACTGAGAGGAGTGTTGACCGGTTTTCTCCTTGCTACCGGGCTGTTTATTGAGGACCTGTTTTGGGTTAAGCATTGTGTGGGGTAGTGGACCTCTGAAAAGCAGTTTGGAAAAGCATGCAGGATTGGGCGTATCCTAGGGAAATCCAGAAGCAGCGCTCCGCCCACAACTGTTGTCTCCCTTGGGTGTTCCTGGTTCCTTTGATACCACCAGCCAGCGCCCGTGCTGACACCCAGTGACGCCTGGGGCGTTAATCTGGCACGTTCCGGGATTTGCATCAACACCTCCCCATGTGGGGGCGCGATAGGGCATAGATGAGGCAGGTAGTGAGAGAGACCACAGACGGACTCAGCTGGGCTGCCCGGATGTCTCAAGGACAGCCCAGTTCCATCTGGCAAGGACCTAGCGGGCACTGACTGTGGTCAGAACGTAGCCTCTGCCGGGTAGAAGCCCCCTGAGCACACAGGCGTACAGGTGTTTACAACGGGAGGGATGACATGTGGAATGTGCCAAGTGCCACAGGAAGACAGGATCTCCCAGAGCAAGGAAAGGGCGATTTTACCTGGGTCTTGAAGGATGCGTAGAAGTTTTCCTGGCAGGGAGGGGTAGATGGCATTCGGGGCAGAAGAGACTTGTCTGTCCAGAGGTGGGGACACCCCTGGGCAGGTTTGGGTTCAAGGGACTATTGTAGACTGGCAGAACAGCAGGACGGGAGCAGCTGGGGTAACGGAGACCGCCGCTGGCTGACACCAGGTTGCAGAGCGGTGTCCTATTATAGACGAGGGCAGTGGGCGGCTGAGGAAGACGTTTGAGCCCGGAGGGACGCGGCTATAAAAAGTCTGCTGGTGCTGGGGGTGGAGAAGGGTGGGGTCAGGAGGAACCACTGGAAACAGACCCGCTCCAAAGGGCAGAGCCCTCCGTTGTGCGTGGCCCACTGGGTGGCATTTCCTAGATGTGGCTTTGCAGGTTGGGGCCTGGCTTAGCCTGGGAAACAGGAACCTGCAGCCTCTGCCCATCGTGACTCAGCTCCAACAGAAGAAGGCATAAGAATGGGGTTTGGGCCTGGGCGGGGCGGGGCGTGGGGGTAGGGGCAGGGGGGTGGGCGGGTTGCCTCGGGTGCTGGCTGGGGTCCGGGGGATGGGCACAGATGGGATGCACGAGCCCAGGCCTCCCTGCTCTGTTGGGAAGACAGCCCCGGCCAGGGGCTTTCAAGACGCGAGCCGCCCACCTGGGGGTGGAGGACCGAGGCGTCTCTGTGCCTGGCTCCGTCTGTTCCCTATTGCCCTGTTTTGCTCACATCCACATTAGCATAACACTCGCCTGAGTGACCATGCACAGCTGGGCCGTGGAGGGCAAAGCTTTTAAAGCCATTAAAACAGGCCGTGCCACCAGCTGATAAGCCTCGGAATGAAACGAGGGAGGGCTCTGCCCCAGTGACACACCAATGGCTGACCCTCACCGAGTCAGGGTGTGGGCTGGGGCCGGGTCCTGGCTTAATTGCTGGTAGGACGCCCTGTGGTGCACAGCCCAAGAGCAGCCTCAGGCTCTAGCAAACATTCCAGAACCTTCCCGGCCCGACCTCTTCTCCTCTCCTCCTCTCCTTCATCTTGTGTCATGGTCCGGGATCATTTTCTTTCCGTTTGGCCTCCTTCCTAGGCACCTGTCCCGTGGGTCTGCTGGTGAGGCCCGTGAATAATTCCTTTGGGGGGCAAAGCGCTCCGACCCTTCCTCTGTCGTGCCCTTGATAGAATATGTGTTGTTGTTATAAAGAATCACCCACAGGACATTTTTCAGGGTCACTTTTAGGACAGATTAGGCGTAGCAGGACAGACCCTTCAGTTGTAAGACCCCCAAACCTAAATATGATGGGACCTCTTGGGGAGGCAGTTACCCCTCAGCCTGAAAAAGCCTGTTTGCCAGTCGGCCATGGATGGAGGCTGGGTGGTAGGAATCTCACCATCCTTCATTATATGATGATGATCGCAGCCCAGTTAATTTGCTTCTCTGCTTCCCCAGCCACCAACGAATACACACTGGAGAGAATTTTCAAAAGCCCCCAAGCACTCAAGCGTGGCATCAACAAAGAGCTTTCTCAGTGACTACCTCAGGAACCCCGCTGGTCCTGAGAGACCAGGCTTCTGCTTTTGGCCCCTGTCAACATCTGTGAAAAATCCTGGGACCAGAAGGGGTCTCCGAGCTTCACCTCTTGCCCCTCCTGCTCGGCGTGTGTGGGGTGTGACTTGCTGGCTCATCGTGCCCCTCCTCGGGGCCAGGACAGCACTGTGGGGGCTCTGCTCACCTCTGTGTGTTTGTTTCGCAGTGATAAGGGCGAAAGCGGTCAGTGTGAAGGAGGTAGACTCCGGGAATGACATCTACGGCAACCCCATCAAGCGGATTCAGTATGAGATCAAGCAGATAAAGGTAATGGGGACCACCGCTGGGTTGCTCCACTGGGCAGAGCCGTGGGAGGGTCAGGAGCAAGGTTGGGTCCTCCAGAGGCGGGAGACCCTGGGGAGGTGTCCTGCCTTCTCGAGGAATGCTGTGCGGCCGTCCCTGGAGCAGACACAAGTCTATCCCATTTTCTTTAATCTGTAAATGGCTGGAAAGTTGTTCCCATTGACTAGGTTATTTCAGAAATGCGTTCTCCTCATTTTGGTGGCTAGTAAATGTGTGGCAGAACCTCAGCATCGTTACAAAGTTGGCCAGAGCTTCCGTGGAACGTTCCGCGGGTGCCCGTCCTTAGCTGAGCTAGTACGAGGCTCGAAGGCAAGAGAGCTCGGTCATTGCGTCTGGGAGCCCTCACGCCCCCAGACTGTGCTGTGGGTTCTAGTCTTGCCTGGTCAGCTTTAAATTCTACAAGGAAGGAGGCCTGTGGGCAGGTGTGGTGGGGGCCAGCTTCCCAAAAGAGGACGTACGAGAAGAGATGGAGACCGCGGCCCAGCTGGTGGTGGACAGGAGGGTCCGCCAGGTGGGAGAGGAACAGGCAGGCGTGGAGGCTGTGGACCGAGGGGCAGGTGGTGGGGTCAGTTTTCTCAGAACGTTGTTCTTGTTTAAGGGCGTATGGCGAGGAGCCCGTGTTTGAGAGGAGACGGCGGGGGAGGTAGGAAGAACAGGACCAGCCCTGGAGGAGAGTGATCATTGTCAGTAGTCACTACCTTGGTGTTCAGGAGAGAGTCGAGTCTTAGTTTCCAGCTGGAGAGACAGCTTTGTAAAGGCAGGAGTTGTCGCTGTCCGTATTTAATTTTGTTACAAAAATAAGAAGCAGGAAATAAATGTTCTCGGAAGGTCAATAAAATGCTTATTCATTGCATCCATGTCATTTGAGGGGGTGACCTCCTCTCTCAGGGCCTAGGTCTCTGGGAGAGAGAGCGTCTCTGTTCTTGCAACCTCGTGGCGGCGTAAAAAGGCAGGACTTAACACCAAAGCAGCACTTTTGCCCTCAGCGGGAGAGGTCATTTAGCAGAGCACGTTGTCACCATCGGCCTCACCTTTTCCTGGGGTGGGTTGGACCGAGCTCTTGCAAAGCTCGTTTATCGTGACATTGAGATGACCCCGTTGCATTGGGGTTTGCCTGCTGAAACAACCCCCTCCCCTGCAAACCCCCCACTAGCAACCCTGGTTGCTAAATCCTGCAAAACCCCGCAAAATCCGGCAAAAACCCTCACGAGGTTCCAGCGGACTCACAAGCCTGAGGGCACCTGCGCTCCGCAGCCTCTGTTCTGTGGTTCTGGAGCATGTGTGTGCTTTCCCCTCTCCACTGCTTCCCTCCCCCCGCGCCCCCAGCCTCTGCTGGGCTGCACCCCTGGCCCGGGTGGAGGGCCATCCTCCCCGCACACTCACGTCCCCGCCTGTCACTGTCCCCACCCAGTGGGACAGCAGGAACCCTTGGCTGCGGCGGTCTCGCTTCCTGCCAAGGTATTGGAACGATGCAACCCCCCGCCCCCAACCTGGGCAGCAGGTGTGTCCCCAGTAGATCAGTTGAGACGTCAAACCCCACTGGCCCGTGGAGTCCTATCCATGGCCACGGAGGCAAGGGTGCCTCTCCCATCAAGGAGCCAATGCTTGATCAAAGTTCCTGGCAATCCTCAAAGGCGGTGGTCCTCCATGATGGGTCAGAGTCACCTGGAGATCCACAGGCCTCTCCCCGGAGATTCTGATACGGCCTTGTCGGTGGTAGGGAGAGCCCATGTGTTATCAGAGATGGGTGCCTCCTGGGGACCCCCGTTGTGCCCAGCCTGCTGACAGCTGGTTGGATGTGTGTGGAGGATCTCTCTGCAGTGGGAACGGTCACCTTCTAATCTAGCTCCTCGGCTCCTTCTGTCCTCCCTTTTCCATGCTGGGGGTCCCACAGGTGCAGGTTGGGCTGCCCCCCCAGGATGTTCTCGGCGGGGGGGCCCCAGACGTCCTTAGCTGTGCAGGCCGGCTCTGCTCACATGTCACCTTCATCTTTCCAGATGTTCAAAGGCCCCGACAAGGACATAGAGTTTATCTACACGGCTCCTTCCTCCGCCGTATGTGGGGTCTCGCTGGACATCGGTGGAAAGAAGGAATATCTCATTGCAGGTGTGTATGTGGAGAGGCGTGGGCACGTTCTTAGGGACCATCTGGGGCGGTGTCTCCTGGCCTCCAGGGCTACGGCTTGGGAGGAGCCTGAGACACTGCAAGGCCAAGCAGAGCCCTGACGCCGTGAGGCTGTTCGGAAAGTCTCCGGGCTTCCCTGCCTCTTCCCATCGAAGAATTCCTGGTGCGTTCTTGCCTGCCCTCCGCAACAGTGGAACCAGTGTGACTTGATGGGGAGACACAGTAATCTGGGAGACATGTCTCATGGGAGACATGAGGTCGGGTGGACACCAGGAGGTGAGAATTTTTGCCTTTTGTTCCTGAAAGGGAGGCTTGTGCCAGACGCTAGAAATGCTCCCTAGGGAACATTTGTGAGTTAGCTCACAACTTGGGAGGAGATGGGGGAGTGGAGGGGACGGCTCCCCTAGTCTGACATTATATTTTGTTATACAATCCGAATTTAATCATTTAATCAAAATACATTCTGAATGCAAATCTCTGTGACTTGGGGGATTTTCTTCTGTTTGGATCATTTGTACTCTTTCCCCCATCCACTGAGAATATTTAAAAAAATCAACACATACTTAGCGGGTGCCCACTAGGTGCCTCGAGCTGTGCCCGGTGTGACAGGAGTTCAGGAGGAGATGTCCCGGAGGGAAGGGCACACACGCTCCCCCTGGGAGGGGGCGCAGGAGAAGAAACTAAATAAAATAAGACGGGTTTTTTTTTTCGGTGGGGGGAGGTACCATGAGCAGCGAGCGAAAGCTCAGGAGGAAGAGACCGTCTCGAGTGGCAGGGGCACGGATCCAAGGATCCAAGGATTTGGCACTGACCCCAGCTGTGCTGCGCACATGGGGTCCCTGCCGGGGGGAGATGCAATATGGAGTGAGTGGGACAGAGGACATGGCTGTCACCTTTCCTTGGGTAATTCCCCCCTCCCTCCCTTAAAACGCTCTTGCCCGGCATCTGTGTCCCTAGCTCATCGCTCCATCAGGACTTCTGTCCCTTTCCTTGGGGATGATGAGAGATTTTTTTTTCTTCTTTGTTGGGCACTTCTGACCTTTCTAAATGTTTTCTCAGGAGCATCCACGATTTTTTAAGTTTTATTGACTATCACTCACACAGCCTACCATTCACCCACTTAAAGGGCGTCATTCAATGGTTTGGGTAATCCATCCCGGGTCGCAACCACGGCCACAGTCGGAGAGCCCTGGACCCTTCCACTCTTCTGCCTCCCCAGCCCCCACTCCTCTCCCCCCCCCGCTCCAGCAACCGCCAATCTATTTCTTTTTTGATCCCGTGGGTTTCCCTACTTCAGAGTCCTGTGAATGGAATCGTAGACTCTGTGGTCCTGTGTGTCTTGGCATCCCTCACTGAGCACCGTGTTCAGCATGGCATTTTTTTTAGAGTTCAGCCACATAGCGTGAATCAGAACGCCTCTCCTTTTTATGGCCGAATACTATTTCTTTGACTGGATAGACCACAGTGTGTTCCCCATTTGTCATCTGATGGACACTGGGGTTGTTTCCACCTTTGGGCTCGTATGCATGATGCTGCTGTCAGCATCCACCACCAAGTGTTTGCGTGGCTGTGTTTTCATCCCTCTCGGGCCGATGTGTAGGAGTAAAATTTCAGGGCATATGGTGACTATGTTTAATCATTTGAGGAGCTGCCAGACTGTTTTCCAAAGCAGCTGCACCATTTTACATTTGCAATATCTACTATTTTTACAGTAAGAAAAACAAAGTCAACCAGAGAGACAGGTATGGGGACAGAATCACGAAGCAGGGACTTTCCTGACGGTGTTTGTCACCGTGACCTGGGGGAGGGCAAGGCAGGGCAGGTGCACAGAACATGGGGCGCGGGGTGCAGGCGTCCGGGGAGGGCTGGAGACGACCTGGTCCGCATGTGCCGGGGATGGACAGCATCAGTGTTATCTCCTTTTACTACTCCCCTGTATTTGCAAAATTTTCCAAATGACATTTATTGTTTTTATGGTCAGAAAAATAAGCCGTGGAGAGAAGGGAAGGGAGACGAGACCTCCCATGGTTCGGGGAACTTGTTGCCCTAAGGAACCAACGGCTTCCGGTTTTCAGCACCAGGTTGTGTGCTGGTCTCTGGGGAATAAACCCTTAAAAAGGAGCACCTCACCCTTGGTCTCTGGCTTGTCACACCGCCCTCTGGAGGCAGCCAACCAGACTGCAGAGCTGCCGAAGCAGGCACGGATGGGAGGCGGGCCAGGGTCCTCTCCCAGTGGGCTCCTGGGAGGGAAGGTGATCTAGGTCTGGGTTCATGCAAACAGGCTTCGCCATTTCCCTGTTAATAGAAATAGGATCGCCCTCTTCCTGGCCCTGATGGCCCCGGAAAGCTTCTCATGTGGATTCTGTTCAATTCTTAGAACCCCTTACAATGAAGGCACTGTTATATGGTCCCCATTTTACAGATGAGGAAAATGGAGGAGTAGAGAGATGAACAATGTGCCCCAGGTCCGGTGGTGTGTGCCTGAACTTTCACACGTGCACTTTCCCAGGCCGATTGTTAAATTCTGGTTGATGTCTGTCTCGTTGGTACCTTGAAATCAGGCCACGAGCATCTGCAGCAGATTTTGGCAGGTGCCGGGTGCCGCAGCTCTTTCCCCCCCAGGGGGGGAGCCGGTTGTTAGGCATTTCTCAGCACACCCGTGCCTGGGCCGCACTGCCGGACATGTCTTCCTTACTCCCAGGCCCGTGGCACTCTGCTTCTTCGTTTGTGTGGTCCAGGTTTTAGCAGTCTTGCCGCCCGAGCTGCTTAGAAAGTGTGGGTCCAGAGCAAGAGCTGAGGATAGAGGCTGCATACGGCAGCTTGGTGGTGATTATCTTGCGAGTGGTTGCTTTGTGTTATTTCGGGGGACATGGTAGGAGAATCTCTTTATCTATTTTGCTCAGCCTCTTTTCTGGAAGGGAAAGGCTTCTGTGTCCAAATGAAGCATCGTGAGTTAAAGGCAGAGAGCCTGATCATCTCCGTTACTCTGCTAATGTTGATATTCTCTTGCAGAAGCTCACTCGTTCATATTTGCCATCAGAGGTCATTTATCACGTCACATGTATGTGTCCTGCTCTGTTCCTACACACGGGTCCATTAAAATGTTCCCAGTCTGAACTAGAAGACAATTCTCCAAGTAACTGTAGCGCACATCTGCTAGGCTTGCTACAACCGAAACCATCCAAACTGTAGCTCCATTTGTAATAAAAATGAAGAAGGTACATTTTGTTTGAAGATACAACTGCTTGTAACTGTGTGCCTATCGTCTTCCACTGTTTCACGTTTAATACTGGAAGCAAGCAAGTGACATGGGGCACATTTGAGTTTCCTAACTGGCCCTGGAGTCTAAGATCCACAGAAGGCATGTCCAGCAGGGGCCGGTGCACCCGTTACAGGGGGACCTTGCTGAGCTGACTTCTTTCCCCAGCTCAGTGAGATGGCTCTGGGTCAAATCTGGTGTTTACTTTCTGAGCACAGACTCTCCATCTTGTTGTCCTGGAGTCAGGATGGGCCACCCAGAAATCACGGGGCACAGTGAACCACTCAGCCAGGGCTGGCAGCAGCCCCAGGAGTGACCGCATGGCCCGAGGCAGCCCACCTCCTCTTGGGCTGATGACTCAAGTTCACATGTTGAGCTGGGCACCAGGAGACGCTCATGCTCAGGAACTGTAATAGAATTGGCCCTATAATTTTCTTCTGCAGTGTTCTCCTCCAACAGGAAAAAGAAATCTACAGCCCTCAGTTACAAATTTTAATTAATTCCTGTTTTTCTCTCCAAGAAAGACTGTGCATTTTTCCAAGGCAGACATAGGAAGATGTTGTAACAGATGTTCACATGGTGCGTGCCCAACCAGGTCTTAATAACTGGACCTGTACAGAAAGGGTGTCCTTTGGAATACTCTGAGATGCTGTCATTTATACATGACATCCGAGGTAAACAGGAGCCCCGTAGCCGGGGCCGTGGAAGACACACAGTTTGCATGGCATCTCCGTGCCTTTCCATGTCCTACTCTCGGCGGGAGCTTGCATTGGTGATGAAAAGATCCACAGCAAAAAAAGGTAGATGATGAAGCAAACTGTTGGAACAAATGCCCATGTCGTCGTCAGTAAACATTTACTGAGCAATTACTACGTGCGAGGAACTGCAGATAAAAAAAGGATTCAGACTGAACTTTTACCCTTCATGCTTATGATCTGGTTAAGGAGCAGGAGGCAGAAGAAAGGCAAAGACCAACAGGAAGCAGGACATGGATGGCCGCCTGGTGAGGCGGCGGACGTCACTGTAGGCGTTTGGAGGGCGGAGCCAGCACGAGCCCCGCCCCTCTGTCAAGCACGACGAGGCGGGGCCAGAGGAGGGCTACTGTCCATATATACCTGCTCTAGCCGTACATTCTGGAAGGAAGGAGGAGACCAGAATGAGTTACTTGTCATCTGTCCATTTCCACACACACCCCCCGCCCCCCAGCTACTCTAAACTCATAGAAAAGGGCTATACAGTTCTTAAAAAAAGAAAAAGCCAAATACCTATTTTGGAAGTATTCAGAGCCACTTCTCTTTCATTAGTTGTTAGGATTCAGAATAAATGCTACAGTAGCAATCCTGCTCCTTGATCCTTTTATTCACCTGGAATGTCATTCAAGTCCGAACAAACACAAGGGAAAATAGAGCTCCCAGAGGTAAGGGGAGTCGTTAAAACAGAAGAGAGAGCATCAGAATTCACATCCAGGGCGTGCCTCCTGCGACCTGCCCGACACACAGGATGTCCCCCTGCCCGCTCGTAGCCTCAGGCCAGCCGACCCGCGTTTCAGCCTGGCCAGAGATCGCGGTGTGATTGATTCGCCACAGGGGTGCATTATTAACACACAAGCGGCATTATTCACCGAACTCTGTTTCTATTAGTGGATTCTCCACGGTCCGTGCTGTGCCTGAGATCATTAGGTTGGATGTCCCGGAGCTTTGTCAAGTGGGGTGCAGCCCGAGGCTCCTGTCTGCCCCTCGGGGAGCCTCCCGCTGCGGCTCATCACCCCTTTGTGGCTCTTGACAAGGTGCCATCAGCCGGAGGGCTGAGATTTTGACATGACCTCTCCAGCCCTCATTACGTTCTGCCATTCACCAGAATGGCACTTGCCTGTCTTTGTGTCCTGCCTGGCTAATGCCAAGGCCATCACCAGCGCGAACTCTTCGGTGCAGGAGAGGGAGGGAGCGGAATCGGCAGCCTGAGCTCAAAAGGACAAACCGTGCCGCCACCTCCCCCTGCCCTGAAGGGAATCCGGAGCCGATTTCCAATTTTATAAAATTTCGTGTGTTTGCTATTCGTGGTGGAAAAACCCAGACAAGTTCAACATCAAATGGCGGACATGTGTGTGAAAAATAAAACGGGAAACAACATGATCTACATACAACGTGATCTCTTTCATGCGAATACACGTGTGTGAAGGAGTATTGGAAGGAAATGCATCTAAGTGTTCTCTGTAATGAAAATGGGAGGTTTTTTCCAACCGGGTCCTTTCCTGTGTCTGCCAAGTGGTCCGGAGTGTTCGTTCTGCTCCGCACAAACGACCCATGATGTATCCGTCAGCTCTCACGCTGCTGTAACAAAGCACCACAGACCAGGGATTGACTCCCTCGCAGTCCTGGGGGCTGGGGATCCAGCATCCAGGCATGGGCGGGGCTGGTTCTCCCGAAGCCTCTCTCCTGGGGCTCGCACACGGCCGTCTCCTCCCCGTGGCCTCGATGCTTGCCCCTCTGTGCCTGTCTGGGTCCTGATCTCATCTTATAAGGACCCTGTTCTTATTGGATGTGGGCCCCCCCATGTGATCTTACTTAACTTAATCACCTCACGGAAGACCCGTCTCCAAACACAGGCACATTCTGAGATGCCGGGGGTCAGGGCTCCCACACGGGGATTTTGGAGAGGCTGCAGCTCAGCCCACAGCACACGGTATTGCGAGCAGTGAGCCTCCATACACCCGAGCCGCCCTCGGGTGCAGGGGTCGGCAGGAGGAGGACCAGCAGCTTGCCCTGAGCTTGGTGATCTCTGTCTCCTCAGGAAAGGCCGAGGGGAACGGCAAGATGCACATCACCCTGTGTGACTTCATTGTGCCCTGGGACACCCTGAGCACCACCCAGAAGAAGAGCCTGAACCACAGGTACCAGATGGGCTGTGAGTGCAAGGTAAGCTGGTGCCGTCTCCTTCTGGGCTTTCCCTCATCACCTCTGTCTCCAGGGAGACTGCCAGGCTTTGATCCCTGGCTTTCCAGGACCTCTCCAACCACGGGGTCCTTAGGACAGGGCTCTGGGGAGGTACTGCCTCTACACCAGTGAGGCCGTTAGGCCAGGGACAGAGCCCCGAGGCATGCCCCTGCAGAGGGATATTTGGGAGGTCCGGGCAATCTAGCCATGTGGCCTGTAGCTTCTAGGAAGGAGAGCCTCCCAGGGGGAGGAATTTTGTGGGGAGAACAAGATGCTGTGAGTGCTTTCTATGGATGCACAAATGCAAAGACTTGAGTGCCTTGGGAAAGAATGTCCGAGCCATTTCCATGCCCTGGGGCCACGGAGAATCCTGACACCCCGCCCCCTTCTTAAAAGCAGCCCAGAGGAGCGCCTGGGTATCTCAGTCTGTTAAGTATCTACCTTCAGCTCAGGTCACGATCTCATGG